GTGTGGTTGGTTGGAGACACCGGTCACCGGCCCGGCGCGGGGGGGGGGGTGGTGGTTATGTGTGAATTGTGGGCCCCCCCTAATTTAAAAGTTGCTGAGGTTGAGAAACCCTGCTCTACCCCTCAACGTCATGATCCTTCTCTGCTCTTCTACCAATTCCAAAAGGGGATTTTTGGTTTCTCCAGTCACTGTGCCTCCTCCTCCTCCTCCTCCTCCACAACCCTGGTTTACATTGGCACTCATTACATTTCTTCAAAGATCAGGGACTTCTGCAAAGGGGAATGTAAAAATCAAGATGGCAGCTTCAACAGTACAATCGAAACCCCGCTCTGTCATATGAGTCACCCCTGCAGATATCCTGGTATGAATCGGATTTCTTGGCAATGCAGATTACAATTCCCAAAAGCCACAGCAGGTCTGGGAGAGGAGAAAGCAATTTCGATTATCTGGAAACCTGAACTGCATTCACACAACCTGACCGTTTCCACTTGCCCGTCCTGCAAAGCTTGGGTGCATGGCCTGAAAGAAAAATGCAGGCTGATTCCTGTTATGAATTCAACGTGCAAATAGGGTGGCTTGTTTTAAAATGCAGACTGAAGCAAGAGTGAAAGATTTTTTTCCCCTTCTTTAGCCACCTTTGGAAAAAGTCCTAATGAGACTTCCTTCTGGTTTAATCTGCACTGGAGTGCAGTATGAATTAAAATTGCACCAAATTATTCTTCCATGAAGTCCTTTGCTTGGTCCTCAACCACCACTGAAAACATCAGGCCGCGTCTGCACTTGATCACAAGGATTTCCATTCACAGAGAGACAGAGAACAAGAGAGAGAGACTCATTATCCTTGTTCTTTAAATCAGTGTTTCTCAACCTTGGCAACTTTAAGAGGGGTGGACTTCAATTGCAACCATTGTAAATACATGCTGGTTGCCAAGCACCCACATTTGGATCCCATGACCACAGGGATGCTATGACAGTCATAAGTGCGAGGACCGGTCATAAGTCACTTTTTTCAGCACCATTGTAACTTTGAACAGTCATCAAATGAATGGCTGTAAGTCAAGGACTACCTACACATGCACACAGAGGAATGTACAGTATAATGAACACACAGACATATATAATAAACACAGACTACTTCTAGCGATTTGCCATTACCTTCTTCCCAGTATAACATCTTGGGACCTCCTGGTGGTCTCCCATCCAAGCACCAATGAGGGATAACTTTTTTAAGATTACCCAGGATTGGCTAGGTACCTCAAGGACTATTCATGGCATCCACTCTTTAAAGATTGACTCAGTCTTCAGGGGAGATGTTTGCTCCAAGCACATGAGATGAAATCCCCCTACACTGATCCAATTCTAATAGAAAGTTCATTATGATGGCCTTTTTTTACCCCTGCCAGCCCTACCAGGGAGGATCCAAACATCATGTTCCTTTCTCAAGAGTCTCCTTTTCCCATTAACCAGTTTCTGTACTTCCAGGTCCCAGTTATGGTGCCAAGCCAGTAACAAACTGTCATGGCCTAGATCCAACAGATGGTGTCTTACAGCTCCACCTCATCCTCGCGAGCATTGCTGTCTCCATGTTGAAAATCAGAAGGCAAGGCTAGGGGTGCTCTGCTCCCCCAAAACCCAGCTGAATCAAACAAGGTGATGCAGGAATCACCTGCTAGAGGAAACCAGGTGTGACCAGGGTTAGCAGTACTCAGGTGGGCTCAGGAGCTGCTGGTATTCATGTATGGCCTTAATCTTTGGGCATGGCAAAGATGGCTAGCCTAACATTGGTCCCCTCAAGGTTTTCTAGCTACAAGAAGCTATCTAGAACTGAGAACTGAGAACTGTCGTCATCATCATCTGAAGGAGAGGATGGACTGAGAACGTCATCTCTCCTTCAGATGATGATGATGATGATGATTTTATCCTGCCTTTCTTATACTGTATATAATTCAAGGCGGTGCTGTCCTCCCAGAGATCTTGCCTCCGTGTTCCAAACATGGACTAGAACAGTGTTTCTGGGGAATTCTGGAAGTTGAAGTCCACACATCTTAAAGCTGCTGAGATTGAGAAACACGGGAC